AGTGCGTGTGCGTGTGTGCAGAGACACCAAATGCGAGAGATAGTTAGAGAGAGAGAGAGAGAGAGAGTGCGTAGCTGGCATCCACTTGCTACACATTGCTGGTCGCCCATCAGCCAGGCTCACGTTGACGCGCACACAAGTGCAGAGCTGTACGTATTACGCATACGCACGGTGTGCCGCGCCGTCTGTACCAGATGCTGCATCTGTTTGCATTGCATAGTATTTGGCTTGGCCCGGTTTATGTTTAAGGCCCTGCATGCGCATAAATTTCATGTCATGTCGATTCATTGATTGTGGCAAATAACTGTCTGCCCGTCCAACCTATTGGACCTTGTGAATGCTAATACTCGACATCCCATCCCATTTCATCCGCTTCGTAACGAATAAAATTTGTTGCCCAGCAAATTCCGTTTTATGTTTTTTGTCGTTGTTGTTGTTGTTGTTGTTGCTGCTGCTATTGCCGTATTTTATGCATTGTGGACAGTTTGGGTTATTGCTGCTTTCTTTCATTATTGCTTTTGCAATTTCGGCTGCTGTTGTTGTCATTGGTTTAATAAAATATTAAGTACTGAATTGTCTCCCATATGAACAGCTAAGCAAAGCAAGCCAAAGCACAATTTGTGTTGCAAATATTTATTGAAAGCGAGCTGAGCAAATAAAATGCTGAATAGAGCACTCTGGCTCCGGTTTCGAATTGCAAATGGAAACACTTAACAATAACAAAAATTTCAAGAATATTATTCATTGGCTTAAATAACATTAAGCAACAAGGTTTTTCACAGAGCAAAAGCAAAGATTTCTTTTTGAAAGGAACTTTTACGTTAAAGTTGTCGAAAAGAAAAAAAAAAAAAAAAAGTTCCACAAGAGCATAAACATTATTATTAAAAGTGCTTTAGGTATGATTTAATTGATGGCAAAACTAATTTTTTCTATGTGCATAAAAATATATAAAATTTGATAAAAATAATGGTAGGAAAATATGTGTATGAGCAAAAAATCATCATTTTTTTCTCGATAAATTTGCGCTATTTTTTTTTTTTTTTTTAGCACATCCCGCATGTATTCATTTTACCAATAAATGRCTTAATTTAATTGATTTGACATGACGATTTAATAAGATCAAATGGTGTGTGTAAATATTACTGGTTTAGTGTCTAATTAAGCATTATTAAATCACTAAAAAAATTACAAATATTTGGAATTAAATAAACATATATATATAC